GCCTTTTGATTCGTTACCTTTTGCATCCATTTTGTATTCCTTTTTACGCGTTTCTATTCGTGTTTTCTTTTAATTTTAATTTATAGATTTATGAAATCTATAAATTACCAAATTTATAGATATTGGTATACTTTTTCTTAATTCTCTCTTCTAAGAGAAACATATTCTTTTGATAAATGAAGTTCTATCATACTGTAACATCAGGTACCGATTATCAAATGCTTCATTTTCCTAAACTCGCGTGTTCCCTACTGATTGTTAATAATATAGCAAGATATATTTATCTGTGATATTTTGCTTTTATATGATTGGGTAAAAGAGTTTGACTCATTCCAATTTAATTGAGAAAGCGAAACAGGGCTTTTCGATCTCATGACGAATAAACATTTTATATGCTATTGAGACTGTTCTAGATTAGAATTACTAATGCGCAGATTCACTTGTATCTATAAAAATAATAACATTTTCTTTCTTTTCTTTATTTCTCATACTAATGACTTTTACTCTGCGTATAACAATTTTGGTTTTCTTCTCATATAGCGTTTTTATAGCTTTCTCTTCTCATCAAGTACAAAGTATGAAAAAAATTAATAGAAAAATATTTAATTACCTGAACAAATAAATTTAATAATGATAAAAATAATATAATTAATCTATTTTAATGTAATTAATCTATCATAATTAGAAATAAATTCTCGGAAACAAAAAATGGGAAATGTGAACATCAAAACTTACTCATTTTTCGCTTGAGAATAGTTTATAAAAATGCTGTTTCAAGCTTGAGCGATCCAGGAATGTAAAATAGATAAATGCAAATACGATATATTTGTTTAAATTACAGTGTCTTCTTCCGAACTAGTACATTTCATATTATTCAGTTTTTCCATCATTCTAATTAGAATTAGCTTGCAATATTCGGCTATTACGCACTACTTTGCACCCACGATCGAAAGAACATCCATATGCAAATTCAAGAGAGAAATACAGGTTTTTTTTTTATAGCTGTCGATAACGAGGACAAGTAATACTAGTTATTAAATACGACTTATAACTTAAGAGAAAATTTAGTTCAGCGATATCTTAAGGTATATACAAGAACGCGAGACGAAAAACGCGGAGAACGTAGTTCGAAAACGATCGGCCGACAATCCACGATTACTAAATTTCGCACTTCCCTAATCGATCGAACCGATCACTTTTGCGTTCCGGTTCAATCTGTGCGCGCGAATGCGAATCGTCGTTCTACGCTCATCTATCTTGAGGGGTGATAATAATCTTTTCATGATATGTGTAACATATATTTATACACAATACCACGCACTATTTTTGCGTACTTGCGTGATAAATATCTAGTAGATACGATTGTGTTATTTGTACGAATAATATCATACGAGACACAGGATGTCCTTCCGCATCATTCATGAATAAATAGACTTCTTTCTAATACACTGCAATTATAATTAAAAATTACTTTACCATGCAGATATGCCTTTAAATAATTTTAATTATACATGTCACGTCTATAAAATTTTACGTTTTTTCGAATATGAAATTATTTTGTATAACTGTTGCTGCTGAGTATATAATCTACATTATTTTAAACGTAAATTCTTTTTTTTATATGTATTCTTTAGATGTTCGTTTTAATTTGCAAAACATTTCGTGAAGGTTGTAGTGTTGAAAAATTAGAACATCAAATTAAACTTGAATAACAGCTTTGAAAGATATAATTATTCATTACCAATTAAAATCTCAATTATTCGCTGTTGCTAGCTTAATTATTTTATCTTACAATTAGTAAAATACTTTCAAATATAGATATATTTAAAATAGGGATTTTATGTCTAAAAAACATTTTTTACTAATTAATAGTTTTAAATAATAGAAATAATAAAATCTTCAATAATAGAATACTAAGAATCATTTTTTATAATTTTTATGCAAATAAAATTATAATTTATGTGAATTAAAATTTCAATTGTAAATATTTTATCTCATATTGTATAGTTGTATATGAATAAATAACATTAAAATTTGAAACTGTTATATATACATATGCACACAACAAAATATCGTTTTTTATAAATGTATATAATTGTTTAGAAAAACACAAGATACCGTATAATGAAAAATATGATGGCATACTGAAATGGCATGGATAGATAGTTAAAATGAAATTGTTTGACGGCTTAATAAGATAGAAATAATTTATGCAATTTCGACAAAGTCGATTACTTTGACTTTCATGATTTATGCACTGTTGAAATTACTATTAAAAAGTAATTGATTAATTACAAATTAATTAATTTTATATATTGTATAATATGAATACAAAATTACAAATAAATAATATACAAACGTAGCCTAAATACATAAATTATAAAGGCGCAGAAAGTGTTTTCATTGCAGCTTTAATTTCATCGTAGAGTTCACGATATTCGTAACTTTCCGTGATGAGTACCACAAGACTGCCACGTTTCATATTCATCGCTGCACCAATATCCATTCTCGATGGAGTGAAACAATAGGGAATGTCCTTGTCTTCACATATAATTGGTAAGTGGCACATAATATCTATGGGGTATACATCTCCAGCAAATACTACCAAACTGAAACAAGAAATCATGTAATGCCTCAACAAATAATTCAATATTCAATAGAGGAAATAAAGCTTACCCTCTTTCACCTCTACGAAGATGTTTTTGTACGTCTTTTAAACCATTACGCACATTATTTTTATATTTGGATGCTAAAATAGATAAAAATTGCTTACATATATTATAATTGCTGTATGCCTAAATATTTTCTGTCTTAATTAATACAAAGATATGCTTTGTACAATAATAAATTACTTAAATACTATTATTGTATATATATTATAAACTATATAAATTATAAACTATATATGTTACCGTTGTGAAAAATATTGGTGTTATTAAATAATTAAAAGTAACTCGCCTTTCTTTATACATTTATAAATCTTTTTGGTTAACTTCTTCGATGCCAGGGGTTTGGCAATAGCATTCACAAATCGTAGCTTTTTTTCATAGCTGATTTCTGGAGCATCGATATTTTCGTTCTTCACCACGCTATCATCGATTTCCATTTTAATAGTTTCCTGCATGTTTTGACAATATTTTTAATTAAATAATTAAAAAATGCACGTGTTCAAACATTATTACGAACAACTGTGATTAACACGCGTTCAATGTTCAATAGACAGGCGTCGCTATATTGAGAGTTAGTTGGTTACACTAACGCCTCTGTATTAAGAGGCAAGAATTACTAAAACAGGTAAATTATCATCTCTCTGTATCATAGGATAAGTATCATTCAGTATTTTTAATAATTATCAGGGTTGATAAGTTAATATTTTCTTTAAACTAAAATAAATTAAAATTAATGGTTTAGAAAATTAACAAAATTAATGTATTTAAAATTAATTAAGTTAAAAGTCATTAACTTTTTAACTTTTTTTTTAACTTTTAAAGTTTTAACTATAGTTACTAATCCTGATAATTATACATTATATTATAATCAAAGAGAAATCTGAAAGAGAATGTGAGAGTCTTTTTTCTGTAACCGCGTTACAACATTATTGCAACGTTAAAATCAAATGTTTCAAAACGTTTCTTGTTTACTGGGAACCTGTAGAGGCACCACTTTCAAATTTAACCAATTTTAACAGTGGTTCTCTTTTTCTCAGCAAACATCAATAAATTACATGTATTAGGTGTTGGAATTTATTCGTAGCGTTTTACAAGAGATGGCACAAGCAGTACACTATTTCGTTGTTACCTATAGTTCTGTATATATTGTAAACATCTATCATAGGACGTCATTTGCCGTACATAACCTTTCTTGAAATCATAAATAACTATACTGTATAATTCATTGAATATGTCAAAATTTGTGCCAGATAAAGTGTTTTTGCGGGGAGTTTTGCTTCATTACTTTAATATGAACAAAAGTGCAGCTGAAGCTCATCGTATTTTAGTGGATGTGTATAGTGAACATGCTCTGGCTGAGCAAACGTGTAGGAAGTGGTTTGCACGTTTTAAAGCTGGTGATTTCGACTTGGATGACAAGGAGCGACCTGGTCAGCCGAAAAAATTTGAAGATAACGATTTGCAGGCACTGCTCAATGAAAACTCATGTCAAACACTTAAAGAATTATCTACGTCATTGGAAGTTGACTTCTCAACAATAGGAAAACGTCTTAAAAGTTTGGGCATGATCCAGAAGGAAGGACATTGGGTCCCATATGAATTGAAACCAAGGGATATTGAGAGACGTTTTCTCACGTGCGAACTGCTGCTTCAACGGCAGAAAAGAAAAGGTTTTTTGCATCGGATTGTTACCGGTGACGAAAAGTGGATCCATTATGACAATCCAAAGCGCAGAAAGTCATGGGTTAAGCCCGGCGAACCATCAACATCAGTGGCAAAGCCCAATATCCATGGCTCAAAGCTCCTGCTCTGTATTTGGTGGGATCAGAAGGGTGTCATATACTACGAACTGCTAAAACCGCATGAAACCGTTACTGGAGATCTCTACCGACGGCAACTGATGCGCTTGAGCCGTGCATTGAAGCAAAAACGGTCGGAATACTTCGAAAGACACGATAAAGTCATCTTGCTGCACGACAATGCTCGCCCACACGTTGCAAAACCGGTAAAAACATACCTGGAAACACTTAAATGGGAAGTGCTACCGCACCCGCCGTATTCTCCTGATATTGCACCTAGCGACTACCACTTGTTTCGATCATTAGCTCATAGCTTGTGCGAGCAGAAGTTCACATCTTACGAAGATTGTACAAAATGGTTCGATTCCTGGATTTCATCTAAAGATGAACAGTTCTTCCGACGCGGTATTCATTCACTGCCCGAAAGATGGTCAAAAGTAGTAGAAAGTGATGGGAAGTACTTTCATTAATGTATTTTTTAATGCTCATGTGAAATAAATAACATTCTTTCATTTAAAAAACGCTACGAATTAATTCCAACATCTAATATATAAATTGCTTATTAGAGAATTTAATTCAGCGATATCTTAAGGTATATACAAGAACGCGAGACGAAAACGTGGAGAACGTAGTTCGAAAACGATCGGCCGACAATCCACGATTACTAAATTTCGCACTTCCCTAATCGATCGAACCGATCACTTTTGCGTTCCGGTTCAATCTGTGCGCGCGAATGCGAATCGTCGTTCTACGCTCATCTATCTTGAGGGGGGTGATAATAGTCTTTTCATGATATGTGTAACATATATTTATACACAATACCACGCACTATTTTTGCGTACTTGCGTGATAAATATCTAGTAGATACGATTGTGTTATTTGTACGAATAATATCATACGAGAGTAACATATATTTATACACAATACCACGCACTATTTTTGCGTGATAAATATCTAGTAGGTACGATTGTGTTATTTGTACGAATAATCTCATTCGAGGCACAGGATGTCCTTCCGCATCATTCATGAATAAATAGACTTCTTTCTAATACACTGCAATTATAATTAAAAATTACTTTACCATGCAGATATGCCTTTAAATAATTTTAATTATACATGTCACGTCTATAAAATTTTACGTTTTTTCGAATATGAAATTATTTTGTATAACTGTTGCTGCTGAGTATATAATCTACATTATTTTAAACGTAAATTCTTTTTTTTATATGTATTCTTTAGATGTTCGTTTTAATTTGCAAAACATTTCGTGAAGGTTGTAGTGTTGAAAAATTAGAACATCAAATTAAACTTGAATAACAGCTTTGAAAGATATAATTATTCATTACCAATTAAAATCTCAATTATTCGCTGTTGCTAGCTTAATTATTTTATCTTACAATTAGTAAAATACTTTCAAATATAGATATATTTAAAATAGGGATTTTATGTCTAAAAAACATTTTTTACTAATTAATAGTTTTAAATAATAGAAATAATAAAATCTTCAATAATAGAATACTAAGAATCATTTTTTATAATTTTTATGCAAATAAAATTATAATTTATGTGAATTAAAATTTCAATTGTAAATATTTTATCTCATATTGTATAGTTGTATATGAATAAATAACATTAAAATTTGAAACTGTTATATATACATATGCACACAACAAAATATCGTTTTTTATAAATGTATATAATTGTTTAGAAAAACACAAGATACCGTATAATGAAAAATATGATGGCATACTGAAATGGCATGGATAGATAGTTAAAATGAAATTGTTTGACGGCTTAATAAGATAGAAATAATTTATGCAATTTCGACAAAGTCGATTACTTTGACTTTCATGATTTATGCACTGTTGAAATTACTATTAAAAAGTAATTGATTAATTACAAATTAATTAATTTTATATATTGTATAATATGAATACAAAATTACAAATAAATAATATACAAACGTAGCCTAAATACATAAATTATAAAGGCGCAGAAAGTGTTTTCATTGCAGCTTTAATTTCATCGTAGAGTTCACGATATTCGTAACTTTCCGTGATGAGTACCACAAGACTGCCACGTTTCATATTCATCGCTGCACCAATATCCATTCTCGATGGAGTGAAACAATAGGGAATGTCCTTGTCTTCACATATAATTGGTAAGTGGCACATAATATCTATGGGGTATACATCTCCAGCAAATACTACCAAACTGAAACAAGAAATCATGTAATGCCTCAACAAATAATTCAATATTCAATAGAGGAAATAAAGCTTACCCTCTTTCACCTCTACGAAGATGTTTTTGTACGTCTTTTAAACCATTACGCACATTATTTTTATATTTGGATGCTAAAATAGATAAAAATTGCTTACATATATTATAATTGCTGTATGCCTAAATATTTTCTGTCTTAATTAATACAAAGATATGCTTTGTACAATAATAAATTACTTAAATACTATTATTGTATATATATTATAAACTATATAAATTATAAACTATATATGTTACCGTTGTGAAAAATATTGGTGTTATTAAATAATTAAAAGTAACTCGCCTTTCTTTATACATTTATAAATCTTTTTGGTTAACTTCTTCGATGCCAGGGGTTTGGCAATAGCATTCACAAATCGTAGCTTTTTTTCATAGCTGATTTCTGGAGCATCGATATTTTCGTTCTTCACCACGCTATCATCGATTTCCATTTTAATAGTTTCCTGCATGTTTTGACAATATTTTTAATTAAATAATTAAAAAATGCACGTGTTCAAACATTATTACGAACAACTGTGATTAACACGCGTTCAATGTTCAATAGACAGGCGTCGCTATATTGAGAGTTAGTTGGTTACACTAACGCCTCTGTATTAAGAGGCAAGAATTACTAAAACAGGTAAATTATCATCTCTCTGTATCATAGGATAAGTATCATTCAGTATTTTTAATAATTATCAGGGTTGATAAGTTAATATTTTCTTTAAACTAAAATAAATTAAAATTAATGGTTTAGAAAATTAACAAAATTAATGTATTTAAAATTAATTAAGTTAAAAGTCATTAACTTTTTAACTTTTTTTTTAACTTTTAAAGTTTTAACTATAGTTACTAATCCTGATAATTATACATTATATTATAATCAAAGAGAAATCTGAAAGAGAATGTGAGAGTCTTTTTTCTGTAACCGCGTTACAACATTATTGCAACGTTAAAATCAAATGTTTCAAAACGTTTCTTGTTTACTGGGAACCTGTAGAGGCACCACTTTCAAATTTAACCAATTTTAACAGTGGTTCTCTTTTTCTCAGCAAACATCAATAAATTACATGTAACAAGTAATATAATACAACATACGTAATATATTATAGTTATATTCTTATGGTAAATTGCAACTAATTATAAGAGATACGTTTCCTATAATTTGAGATTTGCTGGATTTGAATGTCCTTATGAATTACATATAAATTTAACATTTTTATGCAATGTATTTATTTGATACCAAAATAAAGAAAACATAAAGAAAGAATTATAATATACAAAGTAATCATCAGACAATATAATATAATAAAATGTAACACAAAAAATAGACTTAAATTTTTTAAATTTAAAATATAAAACATATATTATATATAAATTGCTTATAATATTTTTACATTTTTGCTTATATGTATTCAGACAGCACACAATATTTATAAAATATTTACAAAATATTTATAAATATTTATAAGATTTATTCTAAATATTTTGTAAATATTTTTGTGGTCTTAAATTGACACAGATCATAAATATTTATTAAGAATGTTATAAAATATTTATTGTAAATATTAGAGTAAATGCTTTGAAAATACTTAATGAGACATTATAATTTAAGCAAAAAATATTAGAAATATTTATTTATATTTATCGTAAAAAATGAAATATCTATATAACATTTCAAAAAATTAATATATCAATAAATATTTATCATAAATGTTCTGTGGGAAGTGGTTTGCACGTTTTAAAGCTGGTGATTTCGACTTGGGTGACAAGATCCCCTTATTCTTTATAGAATAATATATTCGTCATAGATATACAATTTATACTTTAGTTTTATCTTATCGCTAGATTTCCCTATTTTATCTTTATTTCGAAATCAGAAATTCCGTTTCTCTTTTATATTCAGTTTCTTTATTTGAACATTCAAACTCTAACAGATAGATCACGTTATGTACTTTTATGCGTCATAAAAATTATCTATAGATTATTCTAGAAAGAATGTCTAAGAATATCACACGATCTTTCTCAAAAAAAGCCCTCCTATAAAATAACAAATTTAAAAGCGTATTATACATTAACATTAATAATAACGTATATTATATTAGCGTTTAACGATTAAGTAATTAAGTTCAATAATTAGCAGTAAAATAGAAATCTTCCTGAATGCGAGAACGAATATCTTTTTCTTTCTTTTCCCTTTTTCTTTTTCTAATAAAGTTAAATTAATTTTAAACATATGAATGTAGTGAATTCGCCTCGCATAAAGGATATTAAGGAAAACCGAATTTTTATAACAAATTGTTAAAATTCAACTATTACTTATTAAGAATAAACTTGTAGAGTGGGGAGTAGGGCTTATGCGGGGCCTTGCTGCCTTATCTCAAAGAAAGCGCGAGTATAGATTCTACCAAATTTTGAGAAGTGTCGATTGGTTGTGAAAGGACACTCCCACACTCATTTTCAGTATATAAAAGGAGCTGTCGAAGACACACACTCACACTCACACTCACACTTACACTTACACTCAGACACACACTCTTGTACTTACTCTCAAACTCAAACTTACTCTTAAACTCACTCTCAGACTCAGAGACTTAGACTTAGACTTACACTTATACTTACACTCAAACTTAGACTCAGACTCACTCTCAGGCTCACACTGCTTTGGTCAATCAGCCAGTCAGTCAGTTATAGTCAAGGTGAGAACTATCCTCGCGCTTCATCAGAACCTCATTTTCGCATTTATCTTTTTTTAATAAACGATAATATTAAATCGAATCTATCGACGGAACGTCTAAATCTTTAATCCCTTAATCCACATTCAAGTACACATATACATATATATATATATGAATATCTGAGGGATTGTTGCGACTGTCGCTGCCAATTGCGTGGCCCCCGTTTGTCGGCAATTCCTCGGAGAATTCATAATTTCCTCGTATCCAGAGTATCCTCGTATCCTTAACTACACAACTTAATCTGCGGTCCCCGAGTAAATTGTTTAAATACATTGACTCAAAAACGGAGAAACATCTCAATAACAACATTGAGACGTAACAGTTGTCTGGATATAAATAAGATATCTCGTATAGAAAATGCATGCATATCATGACACAAAATTCATATATATTTCAAGAAAATTTGAATTCTGATTCTGCAATAACAATCTTCACGTTTTTAATAAATTTTTTAATGATACAAATGTTTATTAATGGATCTTTAAACGAAAATTTCAATTTTGCATCTCCCCTGTGGAAATAAAAATTGTTGAATTTTAAGAAACTCGAAATTGAATATTCAAACAAATAAATTTAGTGAATATTTAATGAATTTGTCTTATAAGATGCCTGCATAAAAATGAAATTACGAAGTTATATTTTTTTTATGCAGATTTTCAACCCGTTTTTACCTAACATAATTACTAGTATATAAGTATATCCCATAATTATTAGAAAATTATAGACTTTGAACTTCAAACTTTTCCAATTATATACTTTCCATTATTTAACAAAAACGAGCTAAAGGCCCTTCACGATTTTATTGGCAATAAAATCGTTTCTTTGTAATTATATTTATCTGTAAATAAACAAGCTACTAATAAATTTAGTAATAGTTTTTGTAGGTAAGTATATTTTAAATTTATTTTTTATTTTTATGTCTAATTATTTTAATGCAATTTTGCTAACGAATATCAAAATATTAACAAATTCACAATCTTACAAATAAAAATAAACAAATAAAAATAAATTTAAGGCTAATGAGAGTCAAGGCCGACGAAGATGCCAGAGATTAAATTCAAATTCCAAAAATTGATTTACATAATGTGTAACCTTCTTTATTAAACGTTTCGGCTCTCTTTAGAGTCATCCTCAATAATGATACATTTCTTAAATCGTTATTGATTTTTCCGTGAAAAGTGAGTCACTATCAGGATCCCAACTGCTGGAATCTCAAACGGAAAGTTCAAAAATTAAATAAAGCTTTGGAAGTTTCTATTAATAACTAACGTCAAATAATTTTTTAATATTTAAACAATTTTCAACTTATTATCCATTTTAATAGTGATTAAAATTTCAACTGTATTGCTCAGATAGTCAGATGGTCAGACGATCTAAAACAATTTTATTTAAAATATGCATTTTATAAATAAAGATAATAAAGCAGTTATTTAGTATTTATTATTTAAAAAAAACTTTTTCTAACATTTATTTCTTATTTAATATTTTAAATAAGTTTTTTTGGAATCTAAAGTACGATGTTTCGTATTAACTGGTATAGTATAATATTTGTCGCAAATATGTTTCAAAAAAATAATTATGTAAAGAAGAGCGATACGGCTACTTGCCTACACGAGCGGATCAGTAAGTGAATGGCTATGCGATGAACAGTAACTGGCGCGTGAACTGCGAAAATATGTCCTAGTTTTGGAGACGTCGGGGAGCGTCCAGGCGGGTTTTTCGAAGCAGTCCGCATTTTTTATGGTATTTTTTTATTGTATTCGTAAACTTTGGCTTAAATTTTTTGAAACTCCGAATGCTCATACATACACCGAATTATTAAAGATAGCACAGTATTTTTTTTGCATACCAGCTCATAATGCAAACGTGAAAAGGATGTTTTCACTAACAATAGACGAAAGAAAGAAATTCGTTGGGATCACATACTGATCCCTCACTGATTAAAATAAGGTCTCCTCACTGATTAAAATAAGATATAATTATATATAAAGATATAATTATATATAAAGATGTGAGTTGTATCGATTTATATAAATATCTATAAATTTCTGTTCAGCAAGAAAGCAGTAGGAAAAGTTGAAAAACGTACAAGATTGAAAACGAAAATAACTAGATCTTATAATTTAGTTAACATTTTGAAGATTTTCCTTACTTTAATTAAGATAACTTATTTTTATTATAGAGACAGATAATATTTATTTCTGTTAATTTAGCGTTCAGTAAAAAGTTTCATTTCCAAAGATTATATATTGTTCATATTTTGAATTTTTATATGTTCATTATATTATATATTGTTTCTGTTTAACTTTAATATGTGTTTGATTTTTTTTATACCATATTAATTTTAATACATAATAAGTACGAAAAATTATTGATAAATATACTTCGTAACTATTTGAACTTTTGTTTTATTTGTGAAAGTACTTTTAGGTATAAAAATATTAAATATTGTACTAAATAATCAAAATTTATAATGAGAAAATTAACATAAAAAAAAATATCCGAATTTTAGCTGTAAAGAGCTTAATATCCTAGGTTAGTGATTTTATAGATGGCAGTCCTATCCATAAGTAATTTACCACCTAATAGTGGAGATATTAAAAGAGATTATTATACCTACACTGAACATAATATCACGTTCTTCTCTACATGTTATAATTTCAGAGTTTACCGACTTTATTACACACAGAGTATATGATCACTTTGTAACTTTAAAACCGTAATTTTAATTTTTAATATGCATTATTTCTAATAATAAGCATTTATTAAGATAAATTTCTTTATCAAGGTTTCGTATTATCCCAGTAAAAATTATAAGAAAAGTTTAGACGAAGTTTTATAAAATCTACAATGCATATAATTTTAAAAAATGCATATAATTTTACATGGAAATTACATGTTTATGACCAAAAAATTATCTAAATATGATTGAAAATTTACAATTTCCAATAAATTTCCAATCATATTTATGTAATTTAAGTAATTTTTCGGTCATAAACATATAATTTTCATGTAAAATTACATGCATTTTTTTCAGTGTATAACAACCGTTGTTTGTCTCGTGTTTCTTTTAATATGCTTCCTCTGTTCATTAATTCTATTCTTTTTTTTTTTAGTATTCTGCACGTTTGATCAACATATTGATAGTGCTTCATATGTAGTTTTTACAATTAATTTTCTAGATGAAAGTTTGAGTGAAGAAAAGTGAGTAAAGTATCTTTATGTATTTTGATGTATCTGTTTAAATTATTCATTTCAACAAAAACTAATTTTTAGAAACGTTATTAAAAAAATAAAATATAATTAAAATTTCGGCAACATATTTTAGTGACGTTATAGTAAAATAAATAAATTTGATTTCTCATTGAAAATATTTGAAAATTTACTATTAAGATTATTAAGACAATAAAATTTTGATAGTAACCTTCTTTAATAATAGAAAGAGAAATAGCCATAATCCAATAAAATATTAATTATAAAATTGAAAAATTTGTTGTGGATTTTAGAATTTAATAAAAATAAAATATTAATTAGTATAGTAAATATTATGAATTATTTAATATTATCAAGACCTTTTTTTATGAATAATAAGGTTGAGAGTAAAATTTAAACGATGAAGAACAAGAATGTCAATTTGTGATATTAATCAAGCATCAAATGACCTCCTCTCTTAAGGATATATTAGACGTATAGTCCCTACAGAGAAAATTAAATTTGAAAGTATATTTAATATTTACACTTGAAATAAAACTATATACATATAAAAGTTGTGTGAATAAAATTATATTTTTGTTTAATACACATTTTTGTAGTTTATTTATTTTATTTGCTATTATTTTTATATTGTTAAAAATTAAATTTTTAAAATGATAAAAAAATTTACATTTTTTAAAAATAAATACTTTAAATTTCAAAATAATTTATGCAAAGTTTCATTGCAATTCATTGATTAGTTGCCTCGGCCGGGAATTGATTTTTATTTTGTTTAGTATAGAATAATATAACTATGTACATAAACACACATTTAAATCTATCTTAAGAATTAAAAAATTCATATTTTATTCATTGCATATATTTATTTTTAAATACATTACAACAGCATAAATTCCTTACATTTATTTTTTGTCTTATGTTAGATAGATATATATGACAAGAAAAACTTGAAGAAAAAAATGTTAAACAATATATGTATTAAAAAGAAATAAAAAGAGAATAGAAAGAGAAAAAAAGGAAAAAAAGAAAAAATATAGTTTTGTTCTTTATTAGTATCATTATGACAATTGCAATTATCTATTTCTATCGACAAAGCATATATATTGAAACTTTTGATTTGATTTCCTATTTTTTTCATATATCGCTATTCTTTTATTGTATCTTTAATCCATCAATTGGATTTATTTTTTAATTTCATACATTTTTTGACCGATCATATTTCCATGTGGACCATAATTGCAACATAGAGTTATCTTATTCCATTTCGTTGGATCTTCATATTCTATTTTTCCACAACCAATTATTTTTGAGTTAGCCCAGACCAGTTGGGTATAGTGACCTGTCTTTGGTTCGAATCTATAAATAAATTATTTTATAAAATGTTTTAAAAAATGTTCAGAAGTATTTTAATTAATACCATCATGGGCGTATCAAGGTGGGGAAGGAGGGAGGGAAGTTCACTCCCCCCGAAATTTTTTATTAATTATTTCATTTTGAGAGGGTCTCGTTAGCGTACATTCTGATAGCACATTCACATCGGTCAGTGTTTAATAATTTTTCATTACTTTACTAATTACTAATGAGAATATTTTATTTTGAATTGGTCAATTAATTATATACATACTCTGTTGAATTCCTCTCTTTCATTTTTAATTATAAAAAACATACAACTTTACTTTTAACTTTGTGTGAGTTTTTTGCTATTACGTATCTAAAATATTATTTTCTTTTCATTAAATACCATAGAAGTAATTTTTAATACTTCGATTAGTTTGAGTTTTGATAAAATATGTGACACATAGGGAAAATTTTCATAAGGTTTTTATCCCGCGAAAAACAAAATATATTCTGTAATTGATACATTTAGTATTACAATCGCTCACTGAACACTCAGTGAGCTTTTGCACTATTTGATCTATATTTTTGATCTATACACTTATCCGATCTATATTTTTGGATGTAACAGAATATAGCAAATGCAAAAGCTCACTGAATACTGAGCTGCTCAGAATGTAGTACTGAATGCACCCAGAGTATTCCATTCGACTAAATTCGACTAAGAAAGTTCATTAATGTTAAAAATTGTTGTAAATGTCACAACAACAAAATTGATATAGTGACGTTCTTTTCAGTATAATAGTAAAATATCCCCCCCCCCCTCTTTTTATTTTCATTCTGGTTGGCACATAATACATCCCTGAGTTAACAGAATTTCCCTCCTTCCGAAAAAAATTTCATGATACGTCCATGAATATCGTCATAATACTTTTACGTGCTGCTATTTTTTATATATAGATAACTTTACACGTTAAAGTAATAGTTTATATATAGATATCTTTACTTGGTGCTATCTAAAGAATTAACTTATATTTGCTAATATGTAAAATCTCTGTGTACAATTAGAAAATTCAATTTAGAAGGATACTTACTCATATTTATTAATTTTAGTATTATTAAAATCCTTTACTTCATTGTACCATAATGAGACCAAATAGTCTACAGTGGCTGTGTTTTTTCCCGAAGAGGATGCCTGGGCCATGTTCTGACCAACTATAAATCTATCTGTAATTGCATACATTATTTGTTAACAGATAAATCAGTTTTTTTAAATTATTTAAATAAGAGAAAAAAAATTTATTTTTAGTCGAAATAAGTGTCAGTGATAATGTTTATACGCAATAATCTTGGAATATGCAATAAAATGAACAGTTTTCAAGATATTGGAAATCAAATGTTGGAATTTATAAGTCATATTCTAATATTTGACATCCAACTTATCTCGAAAATTATCCATTTCTGGACCTCCTGCCTATGAGAACTTTTGACCAGGGCATCATGATCTACATTATAGTAAAATTTCAGTCAATTTGATTGGGATCCATTTTACAGATTAATGCAGGGTAATAAGATTAGTGCGGTTTGCTTCGCAAATATATTTTTTATTTCTATAAACTATTCATCGATTCGAACTTGAAACATAATTATAAACTGAAGCTGGAAATAACATTACAAATTACATTGATCGTTATTTAGTGATGGTAATAAAAATGTTAAAATACTGCAAACTTCACTCTCATTTTGTGCAAACGTCGATCTTTTTTTCCTTATTAATTTATTCTTTTATCGGTCTAAATTTTATTTACCAATGAATTATACATTTTACTATATACTTTAATAAATATTAACTATATATTTTATTATCATGTAAATAATAATACATTTTTACTATTATAATTTACATAATTTACATTAAATCGGTACTTACCTACATGTCTGCACTCGTCATGACCGAATATGCATTGATTAACCCATCTTTGGCTAATTTTTTCTAGTTCTTCATCCCAAGTCTAAAAAAATTATACATATATGCGCAAGTATTTACATAATATTTTATGTGCATATGCGCGCGCGCGTGTGTGTGTGTATGTGTGTGTGCGTGTTTTAGATATGTAAATTATGCACACATATACTTATACACGCAAGGGCCAGAAAGTTCAATGTCTGTTACCTAAAAGTCTATTCATATAATTTTATATACTTATCATTATATTATGTATATAAATTCTAATTTAAAATAAAAATATTTTATTCAAATATGTATCCTCCTTGTATTGCATAGTACATTAAATTACAGATAACATTTCACTTTTCGAATTTCTTTGTGAGAATTATAAATTTAGGAAAATCTATAATGCACTTATACATTTTTCTTTATAGATAGAGGGAAAGCCCTTATTATGAGATACTGAGTTTATTTTGGGTAAATATTCTATTAGCAGAATTTTTAAAAATACTTATTAAAATTAACGTCAAAAGACGTAAAACACGAAAAAAAAATCTAAATTTTTTATTTATATTACTTTACGCAGTCTATGATATAATTTGCTGTTAACACAGGCATGATTTCTATTGGTCCATGTAATGAAACAAATAACTAGATACTTTGTATACACATATTCTCAACATTATCATGATTTTTTAAGAGGTTATCAAATTCTACTATCTATTCATTTTCTTAAAATTCAAAGTATCTTAAAAATTCTACATTATTATTAGACGGTTAATCACAATTTTACTTCTTTTTAAAGAATTTAAATAATAATTTAATTGTTTGAAGTAAGTTAGAATACATTTGTTCAATATTTTTTCGTCTATTTTTTATTTACTGTATAATACATGTATTACGTCTTACCAAGTTTGTCATGCTAACCGCCTTTGGTTGCGGACCTGGTTTTCCTCTCGTTTCTTTACCCGATGCAACGTACCGTCTCAGTTCATTGTGTTTATCTACTATAGCCTTCTTCTCAGCCTTAGTAAGGCCAGTAAGTTTTATTTGTCCGCATTCTTTTGCTGGTTTTGACTACAACATCGAGATTTTGTTAGCTAACAAATAAATTTCTTAATATATGTATATACGAGGGGTATCCAGAAAATAAGTTCCGTTTTTTTTTACAAATAAAGTTTTTATTGAAAAAATCTAAAATTTACATGGATAATACTTGACAACTTCTAGTTCTTTTTCATAATTCCCGTCAATCTCAATACATTTTGTATATCTGGAAACAAGCTTCGAAATCCCTTCTGCATAGAAACTTCCCGCCAGTTCTTTAGTCCAGTTAGTTACAGCTGTCTGAACTTCCTCGTCGCTTTGGAAGCGTTTTCCGGCCAAGGACTCCTTCAGTTTCGTAAAAAGATGGTAGTCCGATGGTGCTAGATCCGGGCTATACGGTGGGTGGGTCAAAACATCCCAACTAAACTGATTCAAAAGTGCAGTTGTTGAAGCAGCGTTTTTCTGAAACGATCTCATGGATAAGACTTCGGGATATCTCTGGAAAAAGGTTGTGGAGTTCATCTAAAGTTAAACGACGATCATTGCGAATCGCATTTTCAATTTTTGTCGTCAACTCATCCGTGATAAGGGAGGGTCTGCCTCTCCCACTTTCGTCTTCAAGCGAATGTCTTCCTGCCTTAAATTCTCGGACCCATCTCCGCACCATAGATTCACTCATCACACTCTCTCCATATACAGAAACAAGCTGTTTGTGAATATCAACCGATTTAAAATCTTGAGCAAAAAGAAACTGAATGATGCCGCGCAAAACAACTCGAGAAGGAATCGGAATGGAGGTGGCGGGACGCGAAGTGGAGGACTCCATTTTGATAACCTCTCCTGACCGTGTTTCACGAGCTACTGACGCCGAACACCGCTCATTCTATTCGGTAGCTTCCCCTCTTCAATGCTGTGTTGCCAGCTCGCTCATACATCGACCTTACTAAACGTATAATACAAACGGAACTTATTTTCTGGATACCCCTCGTATAAATTAAATTTTCTCTTATTAAGGAATTTTACACTGTAAAAAATAAAATATTAATTTTATCTAATCTTAAAGACGTATAGTAAATTTTCTGAGACATTTTTTTGTTAATTTTAACATTTTTGTATGTCTGAGAAAGTCTACTAAACGTCTTTAAGTTAAAATTAAATTTTATTTTTTACAGTATAATAATAAAACTTTTGAAGAGGAAAAATGAATGTTTTTATATTTAGATAAAAAACTTTTTATAATCATTTTTTATAATCTATATACTTTTAGTAAGTTGAGAAAAACACAAAACTTTTCTTATATATAGAGTCTAAAACTACGAAGTTTCAAAATTAATAATTCGAACGGTTTTCGAAATTTAAAAAAAATAAAGTTTTTTTTAACTTTGATATTTTTTTAAACTAAGCCGTTATCTGTACTGATAAGTTAGATCAGAATCAAGTTTATCATTAAATCCTTTTCGATATACAAGAAGTATACGCTAAGTACGTTAAAAGATTTTAAGCGATGATTCGTCACACAAATTTAAGATGAAAACTTCATATAACACTACACACACACACACACACACACACACACACACACACACACACACACATTTATAGTTACTAAACTAAGCCATTTTATGGTGTGTGTGTGTGTGTGTGTGTGTGTGTGTGTGTATGTGTGTGTGTGTATAGTGTTATATGAAGTTTTCATCTTAAATTTGTGTGACGAAGCATCGCTTAAAATCTTTTAATGTACTTAGTGTATATTTCTTGTATATCGAGAAGGATTTAATGATAAACTTGATTCTGATCTAACTTATCTATCAGAACGAACAGATAGTCTAATGTAATTGTAATGCATTATTATATATGTGATATACATTTTGTATATCGGTGCATAGCGAAATAAAAAATAAAAATAGCAAAAAACATAATTCACCTACATGAAAAATAGTCTAATCGAGTCACTGATGGCATATGCTCGATTTTTACCTATCGCTGTACGAAATATGACTGACAAAATACGACATTACTTAGCTGATAAGCTGTTAGTATTAACAACTTTTTTTAAAGAGAGGAATTCTTCCGCTTATCGTCCAACGAATAATTTAAAATTGAAAAAGCTTGGGTTCTTAAATTCCATGGAGAGTTCCATTGGACCATGGAGAGTTAACACGAGAAGATAATTACATTAGGTCTTTATAAGATAATAATAATAATTTAATAACTTCATTGATATATGTATTAGTAAAAAAAAATATAAATATAAGCAGAAGAATAAAATACAGCGAGATATATATTTAAGTTGGAACCTAGATCTGAATCTAAAAACTAAAGACTAAATCTAATTATAATGAGTTTGCGTTTTAAAAAATTATATTAATTTAAAAAAGGGAAATACAGAATAAGCTGAAAATAAATAAAACTATCACAATATATCAGATATAAAATTATAAAATTCAGAAAAAGGATAATTTAAACAATCGCAATGATGTTCTATACCTATATGATTTTTAAATGCATATTTATAAATATTCATTCAAAAAACATACATTCTGTAGATGTTATTAATATTTTACAGAATATATTTATTTAATCACACCTTAACTCTCTACATATATACTTTTATATATTTACAAAATTAAGGAAATATTATTCCTGCTCAATAATATTGCCATAATAATCATAAAATTCTGCATAACTACGACAGATATTATATGCAATGTTACAAACTTTTTCAAAAAAGCATATTATATAGAAAAAATTGCTTTCTCATGTTAATTTCTTTTTATTTTATATACAGAGTAACCAGAGTCATTGCCAGAGTCATTGCACCAGCTTTTACCCCATGAGAAAATTATCGATTACACGCACGTTATAATTCAATAGGTATGAAGTCGATAATTTTCTCATAGGGTAAAAAGTTGGGTCAACGACTCTGGTTCACATTCTGTATATGTATATATATCTCTCCCACAAATTATTTATTTCAATAATTCAATTTAAAAATTAAAAATGTTAGATATACTCTTTAAAATATACTTTTAAGATATTATAAAGATTGCGCATTAACTGTAAGTATACAAGACATCATTTGTGAATATATTGTATGATTATATTGCTACTTACGGAGTATTTGCACATAGTATGACTTCCTTTCTTGCATGATTTCATGTTGCAGTAATCTGTTGCGATTACGATAGTAAACATCGTAATTACAAGTATACACAGAAAATTGTAGATTCCTGTCATTATTTTTTTTTAATTCGGAATTTTCTTGTATGATAAAGATGCGACTTTATTGATGCCCTTCTTCAAATTACTAACGAGCTCGATAGATCGCAGCTACAATTTATAAATAGTACGTTATCAGTTAATTGGAAGACACATTAGCATTTTAATTTATTCATAATTTGCGTGGGCACTGCATTCCTTCTTCCTTTTGTATTCAATTTTTTTCTTCTCTCCTTTTGTATTCAATAAAAAAATATTATCTCATTGCTTGTACACATATTGTAGAGATATTGTCGGTATTATTTTTTGTTTCATTATTTACCGAAAAATGAAATGTTAATGTATGCTTAATATATTTCAATTAATATTAAGTATTTTAATTTTTATTTATTAGGTGTTGGAATTAATTCGTAGCGTTTTTTAATGAAAGAATGTTATTTATTTCACATGAGCATTAAAAAATACATTAATGAAAGTACTTCCCATCACTTGTAAAACGCTACGAATTAATTCCAACACCTAATATTTATATTGCTTTTGCAAAGAATATTGCCTCGGCTGGGAGTCGAATCTCTTGCATAGAATGCTCACACGTAATACAAGAGATCCGGATTCGACTCCCGGCAATATTTTTTTAAGATTAAATTTGAAAAATTTGGCGGGATTATTAATATTGGGTCATCTAAAAAATATCCGCGGTTTTTTGTCACTAGATGTGTGTTGATGGTCATATATCTAGTGACAAAGTACCGCGGATACTTTTTAGATGACCCAATATTTCAAATTGATTGTGTTGAAAGTCCGACAACCATATTGGCACGCAATTATCATTTCTGAAATTAATTCATTTAAATGAATATATACATATGTATAACAGTTCAACATCTTAACATAACTTCAGAACGTAGCTTCGTATTTAAAGTAATAAATTCTATCTTTTCTAAATTCTAAATAAGATTAATATCATGTGTTTTATTTAAACAACAGTATTTAAATTTTCAAAATATTGTAACATTAATTTATAAATTATAAATAATATAATATTTATTAGGTATACAAATAAGTTTCCGCCGTTTTTTATCAAAAATTAAGCATTTATTGTGAAAGAACGATACATAATGTTTTATTGATGTAAGTCAAAATGTAAGTGCAAATTGTTTTTGCGTTTGACATGAATCTTCATTCAATAATGCTTCCAATTCCGCGTCTTCATACACACTTTCGGCCTTCCGCTACGTTCTTTGTCTTCGACGTCAAATTCACCGTTCTTAAATTTTTGAAACCATTCACGACAACTTCTCTCACTTAAGGCAGTCTCACCATATGCTTCTACAAGCAATCGATGAGCCTCAGCTGCAGATTTCTTCAAATTAAAGAAGTAAATCAAAAGTTCCCGCAAATGACGTTTATTCGGCTCAAAACTCGGCATTTTCGCACAAAAAAATATATGATGCTGATATAAAATCGCTAGTATTTCAAGGTTATGTTGTTGACAGATGTTCAACCTTACGATATAATGTTTTACATCAGACAATTTTAACCATAGCTTGCTAGTGGCGCCGTCTTTTGTCAAACGGCGGAAACTTATTTGTACAACTAATATATAATAATGTTATAAACTTATAAATTTCAAATATTATAAATAAACTGATAATATGTGTATTTAAACTTAAATTTTATTTTATGAAATAAATGCACTGAAATATATTAAAGAAGAAACAAGTGTGTTATTGAAAAGTCTTAATCAATATACATAACAATTAACAAGAAGTTGTCATCACCCACCTGCGACCCCACCCATCTTAATTTGCACAACTGTGCACGAATTATATTTGGCATTCAATTATGTAACACGCAGAAAAAAAGCTGCGTAACTTTAGCTATACATATTATTTTTTCTACCTTTGATATACACACTCGGGTATCTGAGATCCCACATTTATATTTATTATTATAACTTCTGTAAAAGTGGACATATTTCAATTAATTTTTTTTTTCAATCAATGGAGAATTGATTAAGGAACTAGTGTCCATAATGTGTAAAAGTCAATTAAAAAGCTTTGAGATACATAAATTTAAAGAGAAAGAAAAGTTCAGAAACATGAAAAAATCTCGATTTAGCAAATTGCACTGGGATTTCTGGGATCCTATATATTGTGTATAGTTAGGATTAATAGAGGTCACCGTTATGGAAAATATTATTGGATTCGCGAAAAAATTATTGGAAATCATTGGAAAACTATTCAAGTACATTATTGTATATTATTCGTTTCAATAGTTTTCTTGCGAGTCCAATATTTTTCTGTAAGGGCACTTTAATATACAATGTGCAATATATATTGTTGAGAATTGCATACTACATGACAGGTTCGGTAAATTAAAATTTTTTTTAAACTAAATTAATGTTTTTTTAAACTAAATTAAGTTAAAATTAATGGCTTACAAAACTAATTTAGTTAAGTTAAATGTTGAATAAATAAAAATTAACTCAATTAAAGTTAAGATTGTATTAACTTAAAGTTAAATAAAAATTTATTAATATTTATACTGCAGTTCATATATATTTTTTAAATGTTATACGAATATATAAAAAGTAAAATTGAGTATAATATCTTCAAGCAGATATGATAATACACCTATATTTTAAATTTTATTTAAAAAATATTGAGAAATGTAAAAGTTATATAAAAATTTTAATGATATCTTGTTTAGACATATAAAATGCTATCAGCAGTATAGTTATAGCAGTATAGTTATTTAAATGATAAGACTATGTATTTTGTGCGACCTTAGAATTTGTTTACATGTAGAGGAAAGTTACTATGAGATAGGCACCTAATATAATATGAGATAGCGGCGTTTCTGCTAAATTAATAAACGCTATCTATTTCACCATGAATTTATTGCTCTTGGATTGAAAACTATTTAATAGAAAATTCATTATTAAATCATCCCTGTAATCATTATAAAACAAGATTTTAGAATTTGGATGTCTTCTTTTGGAAGTTTTATTGAGATGAGCATTTAAACCTTATTTATTATTTAATAAATAAATATTTAGCAATAAATTCTTCAGTAGTGATGGAGTAAGGTTGTACTAATAGAAAAATATGGGATATGTTGAATTATTTAATTATAGAAGTTAGATTTGATGATCGTAAAACCATTATGCGTGGAAATCGTAATATGAGATACTTAGGGTACTTCTAATATGAAATATAACCCATGCTTCTATGTTATAATGAAAATCGTTGCTTAAGTATAAATGTTATTGTACAATAATAAAAAAGACAATCGGAATGAACGTCGAATGCCTATATCTGCGATGCTTGATTCCAACTATCTGAAAACGAGTTCTGGCTGTGTCATAATCTATCGCATGCTCATTTTTCGCGCACGCTGGCTGTGTTTGTTTGTATTTTAGAAACATTAAATAAAGTTTTTTAATTGCAATACCGATACTTTGCGTTTTACGATCGATTTCTCGGGGCACCTCATATTAAGAGCACAATTTTTTGACTTTGCGATTTGCTTTTTACATTTTTTTAATTAAAAAAAAAAAGGAATTTGAATTAAATTTTATGTAACATTATCTTAAAGCTTATTAAATTCCCTTCAAAATAACCTATTATTTTTATAAATTCTGCTTACAGACTTCTAGCATTTACCCAAAATAAATTCAGTATCTTATAATAGGGGCCTTTCCTCTATATAGGCCAAGGCCGTGTGCCAGAAACTAATAAAACTGTCAAAATATTAACGCATATTACGAAAAAAATAAAATAATCTATTCGTTATATTTTTTATACATATATTCTCTGATGAACAGACTATTTCTTAGATCGTTATGCACTCATCTATATAACTCATCTATATATATATTATAGATATATTTCAAATTGTGTTACAATACACGATAACTATAGTTTGTAATAACTCTTGTTACACAAAATCCGCGCAATGTACTTACGTAATATTTTTAACAAAAGATAGATATACTAATAATATTGTTATTTTTGAATCTGTTAATTCTGCAATCATTTACGTCTTATTCCGCATTTTTAATCCGCACTTCATTATTTAGTTAATCAGAAACAAAATATATACGCTAGAATTAGAGCGGTATTTATAGTCAATTCTCATATTCAAGACCGTCTTAATATGTCACAAACCAATCATAGGGCTATATTATTAGGTGTACAAATAAGTTTTCGCCGTTTTTTATCAAAAATTAAGCATTTATTGTGAAAGAACGATACATAATGTTTTATTGATGTAAGTCAAAATGTAAGTGCAAGTTCTTTTTGCGTTTGGCACGAATCTTCATTCAATAATGCTTCCAATTCCGTGTCTTCGTCCACTTTCGGCCTTCCGCTACGTTCTTTGTCTTCGACGTCAAATTCACTGTTCTTAAATTTTTGAAATCATTCACGACAACTTCTCTCACTTAAGGCAGCCTCACCATATGCTTCTACAAGCAATCAATGAGCCTCAGCTGCAGATTTCTTCAAATTAAAGAAGTAAATCAAAAGTTCCCGCAAATGACGCTTATTCGACTCAAAACTCGGCATTTTAGCACAAAAAAAATATATGATGCTGATTCAAAATCGCTAGTATTTCAAGGTGATGTTGTTGACAGATGTCCAACCTTACGATATAATGTTTTACATCAGATATTTTTAACCATAGCTTACTAGTGGCGCCGTCTTTTGTCGAACGGCGGAAACTTATTTGTACACCTAATAGTATTTAGAAAAACTGGTATTCATAGTCAGGGTATATATTCTTGAAAAGAAACGTATACAAAAGTCTAAGGAAATACTACAGTATATGTTACGTATACTATAGTATTTTCCTAAAATTTCGTCTACATTTCTTTTCAAGAATAGAGGTCCAGTTCTTATATTCAAGACCACCTTAAGATGTCACGAACCAATCAGAGTACCGCACATTAGTCTTAAGACATTATACTCAAGATGGTTTTGAAATAAGAATTGACTATAGACATTACTTAAGACAATCTTGAAATAAGAACGGATTATGAATACCAACTTATATAAAATCTATAGACATATAAAATACA